CCTGTCATTCATGAAAACACAAGTAACTCTGATGCATGTGATTCAAAATACCTCTCTGATTGCATAATGCCTCCGAAAAATATCTGAATACTTTATGATCCTGATAAATCACGTTCTGAATAACTGATGAATTTGTCAGCTATCAACCCTTATTATGGGGATCTCATTTCTGAATTTAATCATTTTACAGAAGTTTCATAACTCCATATTTGATAAATATCAACCACCTCTGAATAATATTTGGAACCTCTAGTGTGTTTCATGATCATACGGATGGTTTCTCTTATTTCTGTTTTGATCTCTGATTTCTTCTCTGATTTATTATATCTCTATTTACTGACTGAACTTATGTTTATATGGGGTACTTTGCGACTCTGATATGACTAAATACTCTAGCAGATTTCATCGTTGCTAGTAATTCCTTGTATAGGTTCAACATCGACTGGTAATTCCTTATGGACCAAAGACGACCCTTGGGTAGGCTCTGTGGCCTCGTGATCTTTCTTGGGTTAGCCATGCAGCCTCGAGATTCTTCTTGGGTAGGCCCCGTGGCCCCGAGAACTTTCTTAGGTAGGCTCTCAGACCCAATGTACTCCCTTAGGTTATACAGTTCTTGGGAACTGCATATGGCGTTCGGTTGGAGGTTTTACTACGGTTTTAAACATATGTTTTAAACTGTTACTGTTTAAAAAGATCTCTGCTTTTTCACTGGTTTTGCGAGAATACACTAGACACCATATTCTGATCTTTTGAACATGGTTCTCTGAATGTTTCCTCTGAACTGAGATCTTCATGCCTGTTACTCGAAAAAATATCCATAGAACCTCAGCTCATTCTGAAAACATGTATACGTCTGAATCAACAAGGAAATTTTAAGGCTTTCCATTTATCTGCATTTCCTTCTGCATCATCTGGTAGTTTTGTATTACTAAGCTTCCCAAAGCTCACTCATTTACTTACCATTTCAGGTTATAAGGATTCAAACTAGTGCATCTATCGGCTTCAGTAAATGAGTTCCACCGACATTGCTTGCAGAGTACGGTGCATATGATTAGGGGCATGTAGGTTGTAATTTGTTTTACATACGAGTCTGAAATTTGTTTTATTTCTGAATATTGTTAAATTTTACTTTTGTATTTTATAAATTGCTTTATGATTTTACGTGTTTTAACAGAATTTTTAATTGTTCCGAGATTTTTAAGGTGAGTCGCTCCGGTGGCCCTAATGTGACACCCCGAATCTGATCGGGTCACCCCCATTGGCTCATGGGTGTTACAATTGTCATGAACAACATTATAATTGAAAAATAATCCAGACTTCTCAAAATTATTTTCTTAGCCATAACTTTTGCCATAGATGTCCAAAATCGATTTAAGATCCGAAGCAGCAAGAGCATTGGCTTACTCAAACATCATGTTATCATCAGGAAACAATAGATGTGTTATAGTCGGGTATAATGATTAATTCTAACTCTTTTAAATATTCTCATGCAACTAGACTGGCACAAAAGAGATGAGAGTCTATCACTGCAGATCAAGAATAAATAGGACTCAATGGATCGCCTTGACGTAAGGCATGTTGGGGATAAATATTTCACTGGGGAAGTCATTTATCACGATTGAAAATGAAGCTGAACATACACAACGACGCAACATTTCAATCCATTCTAAAGAAAAAACCCATTCTTTCCATAATAGCCCAAAAAAATTGTCAATTGACCCGATCATAGGCCTTACTCATATCCAGTTTCAGAGCAAAAAAACAACCATTCCTTCTCGTTTCTGAGTAAATGAGTGTAGCAATTCATATGCCGCTATGACATTATCGGTTATGAGACGGCTAAGAAAAAAGGTGTTTTACACCTCATCGATACATAACTAAAGAGTATTTTGCATTCGGAGCACCAATATTTTCAACACAAACTTGTAAAAGACGTTACACAAACTAATAGGCCAAAATTGAGTAATACGAGTGGGCTCACGAATCTTTGGAAGTAGAACAATATGGATATGGTTTACTATAGTAATATATGTTTCACGTCGAGATAGTTTAATGCAAAAATATGCTATTTCACTTCCGACAATATGCCAGAAACGCTAAAAAAATAGCCCCTAAACCATCATCCCCAGCCGCCTTTAGAGGCTGCATGGATTTTACTGCCTTCCAAACCACATCGACCGAAAAGTCACACAACATATCAACATTCAACGATGTTGTTATACATGGTCTTATAACTTCAATAATTCTTTCATCCACTCCATCGATTGGGAAGTAAATAGAGACTGAAAATAGTCACGAACAAGTGATTCTAACACAACTTCACTCTCTCTTTGCTCACCATTATCATCCCGTAAAGATTGGATTCTATTACAGTGTTTCCTAAACGACGCAAAACGATAGAAAAATGGTGTATTGTTATCCCCAAATTTCAACTAGTTCACTTTTACACGCTATTCCCAACAAAGCTTTGATTTATCCGATTCAAAATTTAATTATATCTTAGTGTCTACAATGTCCCCAACACATCATCAGTGGGCTACTTCTTGGGTAATTTCGCTAGTCTCTTTTTTAGCATAGACTCTGACAACTTCTTTTCTTTATGAATACGATTGAACTAAGCATCCAAACCACCACGAAAAGTAGCTAACTTGTCAACAACAGAACCATTGACACTTCTCCACAAACGTTGAACTTTTGACTCACAAGTCTCCTGTAGGAGCCACGAGGCTTCGAATTTGAAATGCTAATATATTTCTTCACTTTGGGACCCAACAATGTCCATTAACAGTGGGAAACGCTCCGATAATGAGCTGACCAAATAGGTCAACATAAAATTGGGAAAAATAGATTCCCAAGATAAATTGGCTACACCTCTGTCCAAGCGTTCACAGATATTATTATCCGTCCGACGACCTTTTTCCCACGTGAAATATAATCCTAGATAACCCACATCAGCTAAATTACAATCACCTAACATACTTCTAAAAGATTTCATTTGCATATCATTCCAAATTAAACCACCTTGTTTTTCATGTGAGTATAAGATCTCATTAAAGTCCCCAATAACCAGCCACGAAACATCAAGACTATCATTTAATTGGCATAACAGCTCACATGATTCATGTCGACATTGCTCTTCAGGGGTCCCATAGAAAGTAGTACATCTCCAGCATAAACCGTCCAAATCAGGATTGAATAGTACATCAATATGTTTATTAGAAAACGATTGCAATGTAACATCACATGTATCCTTCCAGGCTAAGCAAAGACCACCACTACTACCTCTAGGATCAACTTCAAAACCAAACAAAAAACCACCAGACATACGAATTTTAATCATACCCGAACTCTACAACTTAGTTTCCATGAAGAAAACTATAGTGGACATGATATCTTCAGCATATGCCGAAGATGGTGAATTGCTCGAGGCTGCCCAAGACCTTGGACATTCCAACTAAAGATTTTCATTGTGACCTGCCATCTTGATCATTCAGGCCTACCGATATACCAGAAACAAGTCCACTATTATCCTTTCCACCTGACCCGTGTTCCATGGACAAACACTGTCGTGGCCTTTCCAAACCATCCATCTTGAGAATTGGATCATTCTCCTTCTCAGGCGTCATATCCACATCAAAACCCATATCTCCAACATTCTCCTTCCCAACAGAGGAACTAGCCAAATTTGACCTCGCCCGAATACAGCCCCTAGTAGTACCAAAAAACCCACGATAAACAACCTACTGACCAATCCCAATCCTCATGCCACTAGCACCCTCGCTCAGTGACAATTTTGTCTCCCCAGAACCCTGATCATCATCCCGTAACCACAGACTTTGCAGACTATATCAAAATTTAGGAGGTGCCTGTAACGATAAGTCTCATATCGAAATGAGTTGATGTTTCTCCTTAAGAACTCGTTGAGGACAAAAACTTTCACCATGACCCAAATACCCACGCAGGAAACAAAATAACCTCAACTTTTCGTATTGAAAGAGGTCATAAGCATGTTTTCCCTCCGGTAAGAGCAACTTCTTTTTCCTCTTGAGAGGGTTGTGTGTGTCCACTTGCACACGCACCCTAATATGACCCATATATCCCAACCAAACAACCTTGTCATCATATTCAATAAATTTGTCAATAAAGTTCCTAACTGTTGTGCAATTGGTTCCGACATAAAGCCCACTGGAAGGTTCGAAATTTGAACCCAAAAATTCATGAAATACAATGGGATATTCATCGGATCATCCCCAGTAACAAGATGATGCAACATCAAGAGATGAGAATTAAAGTACCACGATCCATCAGCTAGAATCCTCTCAAGGTCCACCGTATGATATAATCGTAACAAGAAATGATCATCCCCCAAATCAGAAGTCGAAATCCCGCCAATCGGGTGCCAGACATTTGCCAAAGTCGAGCGCATCGCCTGGAAATTTACCATTCCAGAAGTAAGGAATGAGGCCACTAAACAATTATCAAAAGAAATTGTATTCCCCTCTTTCGTTTGGACTAACAGTAATGCCTCCTCCTCATCATCATCAAAGCATAAACCAACCATCACTTGTTCTATGTCACCCATCACCGAAACTACGAAAACCACACTAAAAAACTTGAAATAAAACAAACAAATCACGGACCACAACCGTATAAATTAAAAAGAACCCTAAAGATCTTGTCAAAAGATAAAAAAACTAGGAAAACTCTAAAAAAATATTTTTTTTAAATTAGATTTTTTATATTGTCGATTAGTAATTATCATATAATTTAAAATTCAATGTTCCACATACTTTTCTCACATTGACATTAATGCAGCAATGAGCATATATTATTATTAAACTAACCCATCTCTTTCTCTCTCTCCATCTCATTCACTTTGAGTTTGACCCGTTGCCAGCCACCGCCACCTCTTCTATGTTGTCCAATGGCTACCCCATCCCTCACTATCTTGCAAGGATCTTCTTAGTGCAAAACATTTTTTTTTTATGAGATATCCTTTCTCTTCCCTCTTTTCTTTCATTAAAAAACAACCACAAAGCTTAAATACCCTTTCTTCTCCCTTCAGTTCTCTCTTTTCCTGCTCTTAAAAGTTAAAACCCTAATTCTTTTCATCTTTTATGGTGAGTAATCACAACAGCGACAAGAGAAAAAAAGAACAAGAGGGAAGATCAAGTTCGATATCAGGGGAAAAGGGGAAGCTTTAAGAATATATGGCAACTTTCTCAAGCTCTTGTTTTAGAACCATCCATCTCTTACCTGCTTTTTCAGTCTCTTCATAATTGCCTTTAACCCGTTTTTATTTCTTGTTGCCTTTTTCAAAGAAATTATAATCGGAGGTTTTCGCCATGGATTCTGGTAACAGTAGTAGCATGCAGTCTTCAAGCGGTGGTGGTGGTGGTGATGACGAGTACGACTCAGTCACGGGGCCTGAGTCAGTCCCAGCTTTTCTGGACAGTTCAGGCCATTTTAACCCCTTGTCAAATCAACACCCCTCACTCGTCGTCCACCAACAAGATCATCAGCCGTCCACTTTCTTTGATCCGTCTGCAAATTATCTCAACAACCCTTTCTCTCTATCTCCACCGAGCAACTCACTGCTGAATTTTGAAGGGGTTAGGCCTCGGATGAGCCTAAGATCTGAACCCAAAACCATTGACCTCGGTAACCTATCGAGGCAATCTTTGTTAGGCTCACATGGTCTTAATCAAGGTTCATTCCCGGGCTCATCGTCGATGCAATCGAGGTCAGTTCATCATGACAATGGTGTAAGAACTTCAACACAATCTGATCAGACCATAAGTGTTGTAAAGAACCCCAAGAAGAGGACAAGAGCATCAAGGAGAGCACCGACTACAGTTCTCACCACCGACACAACGAATTTTAGAGCAATGGTGCAAGAATTCACTGGCATCCCAGCACCACCGTTTTCGGGTTCATCGTATTCTCGAAGGCTCGACCTTTTCGTATCTGGCTCAGCCTCACGGTCCAGTCATTTGGAACCTTTGGGTTCTTCTCTCTACCCTTTACGTCCTTCGGCTAAAAGGGTCCAGACGACTCCATTCGCATCATCGTCTTCTCCTTCATTGTTAAACAATCCTTTACTTGCCGCTGCTAATACAAGCAACACCACCATGGCCAATGCTTTCAATCCTAGTTCCAGTAACTATCAAATTCCTTCTGATGTAGACTTACTAAAGCAGCCTCAGAATATGTCAAACTTGCAGAACCAGAGTCAAACCCTATTGTTCCAGTCCTTCCTAGACGCGCCTCCTCCTTTACACCCATCTCTTGGTTTGCCTGGTTTCGGTGTGAAATCCCAGGGAAGCTCTGCCATGCCTTCCATTGATGAATTGGGGTTTCGCCATGGTAATGCAAGCCTCGGTGGCTTACAAAATCGTTCAGCACCAGAAGCGGAACGTTCAAGGAGCGAGCGCAACTGGAGTGATCATGGTGTTGGATTGAACGATGGCAATCAAGATCACTTGGGGCCTTTAGATGGGAATTATGGTAGCAATAATTCACAAGGAGTTAACAGCTGCAAATTGAACTACCCGGCTTCCTCATCAGCTTTTCACCACCATGACAAGGGATTGGAGAATGTTTCTTCAAGAGCAGAAGGTACAGTTGATTCATGGATTTGTCCTGCAGAGTAGACATTACCGATCACCTACTAAACTTAATTTGTAGAAATACTGTCATGCAGAAGAAGAATAGTAGAAGGGTTTCTTTTCTTATTTTTCTTTTCTTCATTTTAGAGAATAATCAATTCATAATTCTATTATCATACTTATCAGACACATATTATGATATTATCGTCCTTTATTGGGATTAAACACTTACTAAGATATACAGTGATGCCATTTAAGTTAATTTAATTTATTATGTGTTTTAAACATTGGGTTGGGGAACTCAACTGCAGCATCTATGTATGATAAGGAATAAGGAGAACTCTTTCCTCGTACCTTGTCTTGTGGGAGAAACTAAATAGGTCGGTGCTGTTAATAAAATAAAAGACCTTTTCTTTTATTTTTTATTTCTTAAATTCTCCCCAACTCTAAACCTAATCTTTATTGTCCGGCGAATATATTGAATATCATTAGTAATAAAAGATAATATTAATCATCTTAAAATATTTAAATATTATTCCTCTTAAAAAATTAAATTTAAATAATTAAATAGAATATAAATAAAGTATGTATATTATCAATAAATTAAAAAATCTAAAAAAAATATTATTCTATAATTATTTTAAACTATATATAAAAAAAATTCTCCAATGAATGTGGTCCTTACCTACCCATTTTCCCAAGTGCTTCAAAATGTCTTGGGAACTGCTTCATCTTGTTATGTGACTCAACTGACAGAGAGAGAACCAAGTGGACCTTCCCTGGCCCTTCTCACACATCCGTTAATTTTTAACATATTCAACTTCTAATAGTTGCAGTAAAAATAAACAAAATAAATAAATAAAGACAAGGTTTTTTCTAGTTAATTTACAAGTCAATAATTCCTCAACTTTTCTATTTTGGGTATTATATTGTTAATTTATGGTATACTTCAAATAATTTTCTTCGTTGAACAAAAATATAATAATGTTCTTCAGTCTTCACATATAACTACAAATCAAATATTGAAAGTTTTAATTTTGTAGTAATTAATATGATCTTTTGTAGTTAATTAGTACGATTACTATAATATTTGTTTTAATTGATTTATACAATCATCTTAACAAATAACATTTGATGACATTGTATCATAGGGTGTAGTTTTTACTTTTTTATAATTCAAAAAAATTGAAAAATTTTATGATTAATGCAGTTAAAAAAGTTTTAAGGATTAAATTGAGAAAAATTATTGAGTTAAAGGGCTTAAATATTACTTTACCCCTTCACTAAAGAAATAAGGGAAGGGAGGAGAGATGGTGCGGAGTAATCGACGGCGAGATTGAAGCAATCCACACCTTACCTGCCGCAATCATTAACTACAAGTTAAAATATAGCTTCCTATTATTATTATTGTCCTTCATTTTTGATTTTATGTTTGATTAATATCCTAAATCATTCTCTTAAGTTATTATTAGTTTTTTAAGGCAGCTGCCGTTCACATTAAGATATACTCTAATTAACGATCAAAATTGTTGGGTTGCGTATGTACAAGGCAATTTTTATATACATTCTTCTATTTCTAAGTTCAAATTTCACTAATAATACATAAGAAAATAGTAGTCAGGGATGGATCGAAAAAGGTGTTAGAAGATACGATCGTGCTTTCTATAAATTTTAATTAATGTTATAAGATTTTAAGTGCATCCCTTATAGTATTCATAAATCTATGCCCATGGTGATGGTATTTGGGAGATTATATATGTAGTAAAAACTAGCTTGTGATGTTCACAATAATTCGTTGATGAACTGGATTCTTTGCATCTAAGTAGAGTAATTGGAGATGTATTACAATTGATGAAATTATTAAAGCAACGAGAGATGCTACATTCTGCCAAAAAGTCAATGATCATTAATTCTTTTTTTTTTTTACATAATTTGATTGGTTGTCCAAGATTTTGCACCACATGCTAGATCCTTGTAGCCTATTTATTGGAATATACAAAGAGATGTACATTATCTGTGGCCGTATATGGATGAGGAGAGAGAGAGAGAGTTTGGGGATAAATTGAAATCTGCTGTGAATCATGTTGAAAGCTTGGTGGAATGATTAAACATTAGAATTTGTGAGATGGGTAAGAAAAAGAGGATGCAAACAGGGACGGATCAAGGAGAGTGATCGAGATGATCGTCTGTTGAAAAATTTAAATTATAGTATATTATAGATATTGTTTATAATTTTTTTAATAATTTATTTTAACTTTTAAAATTTTATAAATTTATCTCTTAATATAGAATAATATGTTTATCCTTGATATAAATAAATGGCTTATTAAAATAAAGAAGACATGATAACAAGGAAGTGAAGGGGGCTGATTGTTACAATATGGGAATTTGTTGGTTGAAGATGAGAGGGAAAAATGTTGGTAATGACATGTGATATTTTCCCTTTTGGAATCGTGGTGGCCCATGCCAGAGAATAATCTGGTTTTTAGCAATTATGATTGTTTTCACTCCTTCTCCCAGTCATGTGAGACAGACAGCACTTTCAGGGAAGTTCTACAGTTTCACCTTAATATAAGCATCGATTATTGTTTAAATAATAAATCGGTAAAAATATCTAACATATCATTACTTTTATCTAAAAATTAATTTTTAACATTTTTGGTAAAAATGTCCAACAATAATAAAACCGATAGCGTTTATTAATGTTTTCGGTCATTTTTTCCAAATCCGGTAAAACACCTAATAAAAACAAAATCAGTAGCGTCTAATAATATTTCCGGTCATTTTTTACCGGTTTTGTAATTTAAACAATAACAAAATCGGTAACACCTTATTTTAGGCTTATATTAAGGCTGCCGCACGTGAGTATTTCCCGCACTTTCATCCTCGGGTTTTAAAAATTATCAGAAACCATCAAATAAAGGGCTTACAAATATCGTTTTCATTAAATAAAGGGCTAATATGGAACTAATTGATTTTTAAGGGACTAGAACAACAATTTCACCATTAACAGGACGTGTAAGAACAAGATTAGTTAAACTGTAAAATAACAGATGCTAAGAGGAATTACAAAGTAAAAAGATATACAAAAAGGTCCTTTCAAGGTTTTCAGCTATAATAATGAGGGTGTTGAGGCATTTTTCTTTTTGTTACTAGGGCTGTGTTTTGGGTTTGTAAGTTAAAGGGTACGTAAGCAGTGATGAAAGTACATGGCAACCTGACGCAATTCGGTCGTCTTTAAAGACTAGGAGCTGGAGAGCATAATAATAATAAACAAGCGATCGTGAATTCTACCGCCAAATGCCGCAATCTTACATACCATTGGGGTTAACAAAGAAAAATAAGCATTTACTTTTGACACTTATTTTGAATTTAAGTGAGGGGGCTAAAATGGATGATGAGTGAGTTTGTCCTCAAGGCTTAAACAAAGATATATTAATAAGAAAATTATTGAATGATATCAGTCATAAAAAATAATATTTTTTTTAAACGGCTATATTCGAGTAATTAAATTTACAAAATATGTATGTTTGATGTAAAGTTATGAGTGCCTAAAAATCATATAATCATCTGAGTATTTACTCATTATTCTTTATAAACAACTGATCATAAAATATATTTCATTATATACTTATGGAAAGGGATCAAATCAAACCCATTAAGTAGCCTCAATGATTAAATGGTGTGTTTATCTCTATAGAGGTCTTAAATTCAAGTAGTTACGTTTGTAAATGTGTGTACATTGTCAATGACTAATTTTTTTTTGAATAGATACTATTATTATAATCACATTAGACTATTAAAAAACGTAAGAAACCAACATATATTATATAAAAATGTGAGAATGCAAAGGGGGAGCAGTGACCACACTAGAAGTACAAGTAGAGCAAATGGTGTAGGCTAAAAAGGGGAGAGGTTGGGAATTGGCATCCTAGTCACTACTCAGGTCGGTATCATAGTGCAGTTAGGTAGCCCACTAGAGAATAAAACTCCTTGCTTCTAACCAACACCAGCAAACCTTGTTTACCACTACCAACCCATTCACTTTAATTTCTTCAATTGTGCTTATAAAAATTTACAAGCTATTTCATTTTCAAAAATACATTCAGAAAACCCGGTTTACCTTTAAAATAAAGTTGACCAATTGATGCTGCTGGATCTGAGATTTCAGCACATTCAAACTTGAACATATATTCTTCAAAAGTACTGATGGCCAGCATTTCATGCAGTGGAGAATATTTTATGTATGTCCGAGTCCGAGACCAACCAGCTCACGGCCTGGCTATTGTTCACTCTGCAAACACATGCCAAAGGTTAAGGACAAGTTAGTGGTCAATAGTTATGATGTTCTCAAGTCTTAAGTCTGCACTTTGATCCAAACCCAATAATTTACTCAAATCATAATTTATTAGGTTACTTAATCAACTATATTATATATTATTATATATTATATGTTTTGCATTTGAACATCGATTTCATGATTATTTTTCATGAAAAAAATTAAAATATAATTTAACTTTTTAATGGAATGATCCCTTGATTTCCCTCATTGTACTTCAAAGGAGATAATCCATTAGAAGAAAGAGATAAAGTGGAGACAAATCTATAACAAATACGCCACGAGATTAAATCATAGAGAATGTTATACACCGTATTTCAAAAACAAAAGCGAACATCGAAAGATAAAAGATAAAATTACAATACACTAATTACATAAACAAAAAAGATATGAAAGATCATAAAATTTAAAAGCAACGAATATAAGTTAATTTATTACAAAAATTATACAATTTTAATTATATATATTCATAATATGTACACCACACACAAATATATAAAATACATAAAGACAGTTCAATATCTAAGGGTTTTGAGGTGTATATTATCGATGACTAAATAATAAAAACAATACTAATCTATAATCACCTCAAAATAATAAAAACATTTATCATATAAATATGAATATATGAAAACGTTAAAAACAAAATCTTCTCGTGAAATGAACATTTATTAGTGTCGTGTGTTGGGGAGAAATTGACATTTCCGCAAGTAATGCTGCGCTAGGTTGGTAGAGTGAGGCTGGCGCTAAAATGTAGTTACTGCCAAGTAAAATTATTCTTTCGCTTTCCTATATGCTTACCTTATCTACGGG